GTCAGATAATGCTGCTGAATATTTTGAAAAATCCTTGAACTTATTCATGGAAGATGCTGACATGTTACATCAATCATCTTGTGCTTATACCCCTCAGCAGAATGGGGTTGTTGAGCGCAAGAATAGACATCTATTGGAGACAGCTCGAGCCTTACTATTCCAGCACAAGGTTCCCAAGCAATACTGGTCTCAAGCTGTATTTACTGCATCATATCTGATAAATCGGATGCCATCTAAGGTGTTGGGTATGAAAACCCCTTTCTCTATTCTGTGTCCTACTCTTCCAGACTTTCATCTTCCTCCACGGGTCTTTGGCTGTATATGTTTCATACATGTGAAGGATCCAAAGAAGACCAAGTTGGATCCTAGGGCTACGAAAGGAATATTTTTGGGGTATTCTCCTACACAAAAGGGTTACAAGTGTTATGATCCTGTCTCCAAGAGAAAGTATGTCACCAGATATGTGGTCTTTTTTGAGTCTCAATCCTATTTTCAGTCTTCTCATAATCCTCTTCAAAGGGAGACTATTGGGATGGAAGAGGATTCTCATTCTCCCTCTCTTTTTGTTCCCCTATCTGCCTCGGGCCTTCCATCCTCTTCTTCTACTCCTAGTTTTGTTATCCCGGGTCAACCTAGTGAGGCTCCCACTGTGCCGGTTACCTCTCCTGATACTACAAATGTCCCTGAAGGCTCCAGTAGGCAACAGTTGGACTCGGATCACCTAAAACAAAAGGAAAAAGGAAAAAGGGCCCCCAAACTCATGACAGCAACCAGTTGGACTCGGATCAATCTATCTCTACAATCCAAGGTAATTCCAACACTCATACTTCTGATTCGGATCTTCCTATTGCTCTCCGTAAGCCTATCCGTTCTTGTGCCACTCTGCATCCCATTGCTGATTTTGTTTCTTACTCACATTTATCTCYAACCTATCACTCCTTTGTGTCTGCTCTTTCCTCTGTTCATGTTCCTTCTAGGTACTTAGAGGYCGTGTCTGATCYAAGGTRGAAAGAAGCTATGAATGAAGAAATGAAAGCAAGAACTTGGGAATTAGTGGATCTGCCAAAGGGGAAGAGCATTGTTGGGTGCAAGTGGGTGTTTACTGTAAAGCATAGGGAGGACGGGTCCATTGAAAGGTACAAAGCCAGGCTTGTGGCAAAGGGGTCTACTCAGAAAGAAGGGATTGACTACAAAGAAACCTATGCCTCGGTAGTAAAGCTCAACACAATTCAGGTTCTATTGTCATTAGCAGCAAATTTTTCATGGGAACTTCATCAGCTGGATGTGAAGAATGCCTTCCTAAATGGTGACCTTCATGAAGAGGTATTTATGGAACCTCCACCAGGCTATGACTTTGATAGAAAGGTGTGTAAACTGAGGAAAGCATTATATGGTTTAAAGCAATCTCCTCGTGCATGGTTTGAGAGGCTTTGTGGTGCTATGGAGAAAGTTGGGTACACTCAGAGTGGTGCAGACCATACCTTATTCATAAGGAGACAGGATAGCAAACTTACARCACTCATTGTTTATGTGGATGATATGGTGATTACTGGGAATGACTTGGAAGAGATCAAAAGACTGAAGGAGTTTTTAGCCTCTGAATTTGAGATCAAAGACTTGGGCCATTTGAGATATTTTCT